CGATCTTCACCTTGAAGCGGTCGTCCATCAGGAGTTTGGCTACGGCCTCGAGAGGAAAACAGATAAGAGCAGAATGAGAAAATGAGTGAGAGAGACAAAAGAATTGTCTAAAATATTTCTGCAGTCCATCCACACTCTTAAAAATAAAGGTGCTTCACGATGCCATAGAAGAACCTTTTTGTCTAAATGGTTCCATAAAGAACCTTTAACTAACATCTGAAGAACCTTTCTGTTTCACAAAAGCTTCTTTGTGGTGAAAGAAGGTTCTTCAGATTATAAAAAGTTCCGAGATGGTTCTTTAAAGAACCTTTGATTGAATGCTTCTTTGTGGAACCAAAAATGGTTCTTCTATGGCATCGCTTGAAGAACCTTTCAAAGCACCTTTATTTTTAAGAGTGCATGTGGAAATGTGTGAGAGAAACATTTTTGAATCGTCACATATTTGAATCGATTTTTGACCGGCTCGCGGTTAACCGTTACATCCCTAGACTACAACAAAGCATATTATCTACTAACATGTATTACATATTAAAATAAAGTAAAAAAAATTAATAAAAATTAACAGTATTTACGTGCGTTTTTTTCAAATCCAGATAAACAAATGGGGTTTTAATTATATTTTTAAATATTAAACGGCAATACTAACAGTCAGGAATTTCATCTTGGCTTATCGCCAAACCGTTTCCTCCCTATTTGTAACCCTCAAACCAGAAGGAACTTGGCGACCCCTCATAAATCTTTAGCGGGGGTCATGACCCCTGGGTTGGGAACAAATAAAAGATAAATAAAAATTAGAAAAGCTGCACTGGCAACTAGCTTAAAAAAAACGTTATGTTTCTTTTATATTTGATTTGGTTTATTTTATTTCAAGAAATGAAAGTTTATGATTTTAGTTTTAATAACTGCAATAACACTGGTCTACAAAGGCATCTGAAACAGCCCCAATGAGGAAAGTTTATGCAGTCTAAGGCAAATAATATGCATGTTTTATGTTTCACATGAAAAATGACTGCTGAAGAAACGCCAGCGTTTTGTTCAGCACAAACTGATTGTCCCTGTCATTATAATCCACAGGGGGTAGACGCAGTTTATTGTGCAGCAGTATGATTCACTGACTATAATGAGAGAGTTTGTGAGGGAGCACAGCCGTGACAGTCAGTGAGCTCACACTGAACAACAGCGTCATTATTCAGTTCATCTGATCAGTCACGATAAAGCGAGAGCCCTAAATCAGCTTGTTTTGCATGTGTATCTTACATAAAGAATATGGCCTGCAATTTCTCCACACAAAACAAGTATTTTAATATACACCACCATTCAAAAGTCTGCAATCATACTTCTACTCAGCAAGGACGCATTTAATTAAATCAAAAGTGACAGCAAAGACATTGAAAAAAATGATTTACCGTTCTTTGTAACTTTCGATTCATTAAAGAATCCTGAAAAGAAATGTACCACGGTTTCCACAAAAATATTGTGCAGCACAACTGTTTTCAACAT